TATTTAATGTTTATCATTTTAGGACACATGTTAGGTTTTCCCAGGTGTAAAACATAATCACATTTGTTTCTCTATTCAAAGGTCTGCTTTAAAAAATGGGAGGCAAAATAAATAAATGAATAAATAAAAGCAACAAAAGACAAAGTAACATAGTCATGGGCCACATGACGGCATTTTAGTCAGTCAACATACAAGGCTGTCACCGTAAGATGATACCGGCTGGTGGTATCTGTGATATCTTACCTTATATAAATACATGTTGATTTCCTCACAACAAAATCATCTAACAATGTATTTCTCAGAATATCATGACTATTACTGGCTCTAATTCAGAAACTGAGAGTTTCGGGGGGTAATCATGCGATCAGAATATTTTCCTCCTAGTGTTGGGGACCAAACCCATGACTTCATGCATGGCAGGCAAGCACTCTACCACTGAACTCTATCTGCAGTTCCATGCCATCAGAATTTTAAGATGTCACCAACAACTTCTCCAAATTTCCTCACACTGGGGCATAACCCCCCTTCTTCAGCTCAGATAAGATAACAGGTATGCAGAAGCTGTCCCTGGGAGGGCAAAGTCCTGGTCCTACACCGCAGGGAAGAGGGAGAGGAAAAGGAACAGGAAGGAAGGAAATATGCTGTTTTCTACTGTCTCACTGTCTTTCCTCCCTCTTTTCTTCCTTACAGTATAAAAGATCCCTGCACACAAGGACATGCAGTTCAATGGTAATCTGAGGCAATACAAGGTCCTTTCATCACCTCAGAGCTACTGTTAATATTTTTTTAAAAATTTACTTGGTACAGGGTCTCACTATATAGCTCAGATTCATAGTGATCCTGCTGTCTCAGCCTCCCCAGCGCTGGGATTACAGGTATGGGCCATCATGCCCAGGGTCCTGGGGCTGGCATGGCACACAGTGTCAGAGATGGAACCCAGGTCCTTGCTCTTGCCAGGCAGGCGCTTATTCTACTGAGCTATTTCCCCCGCCCTTTGAAGAAAGCCCTTTTCATCAAAATAATGACCTCTGAAGATTTTGTAGAATGTTTAGGATATTTACGTGAGCAGCATGTAACACTTGCATCAGATTCATTTACATCAACACCCATCCTTAAAAACTTTTTCTGGGCTGGCGAGATGGCTCAGTGGTCTAAAGCACCTACTTGGAACAAGCTTGGCAAAGCACAGGGACCACGGTTCGATCCCCCAGCACAACATGCCAGCCAGCCCCGCCCACTGGTGGGCGGAGCTGGCCACACACACACACACACACACACACACACACA